GGATTAATCATTTTGTAAATAGTTTTAGGTTACTCTATTTTTCATGTAACTACAAGTATTATTATTGATTTAACAGTACTATAACTCCCCCCCCCGAATACATAAATATTCAAATTAACACTCACTGTACCTTATTATTTCTTATTAATTTCATATAATTATACACAATATAGTCTTCTACCAAACTTTGATCGAATTTGTAAATGAACTATGATTTCTCTCAGCCTATCTGATCTATATATATTCTGATTATTAATCTCATAATTTCATTTAGCTTATAGGCTGATTTAAGTTAACATTACATCTAGGTTATTACAACATGGATAGTTTTATTTTATTTAACAATCATGTATTCATTTGTAGTAAATTTAAACGATGTATTTTGTCTTAAACTTGATTACTTTTTGAATTATAAATTTAAAAATACATAATTGTATAACCTGAAGAGGATTAATTGGAAAGAATACTCTACGTTTACATCTTAGTGTTTTATTATGATAGAGATTTTTAAATAACTACAAATAACTATAAGGGCCATACTCCTACAGTTGAAAAACATATGTAACTCAAAACAACCGTCAGCCAACATCAAAGTCGGAATCTTCAGTATGCAGTTCAAGACAGTCCTACTGCATGGAGCTGAAATTTGAAGGGCTACAGCAACCAACATCAAAATGGTACAGGTGTTTATAAACAACTTTCTACTCAAGATACTAAATGTTCGTTAACCGGATACCTTCAGCAACAGCCTACCATGAGAGAGGAAAAACCAACTTCCAGGTTAAGAGGAATTAGGAAAATACGTTGAAAGCGGATAGGACATAGGTTACGAAAATCTGCAAACAAAATCCTGGGTCAGTCGTCAATTCGGAATCCTGAAGGGAAACGGAAAAGAGGGAGGCCGAAAAACACACTATGTCGAGAATTGGGGGCAAAAAATGAAAAAGATGAATAGCAACTGGAAAGAAGCGAAATGAATTGCTCAGAGCAGGGTTGTATGGAGCAAGCTGGTGAGCTGCCTACGCTTATCCATAAGGAGTAACAGGCGTAAGTACTTACAAATAATTATAGCATTAAACGATGTTTGAAATTTCTTAACTAATTACTGAAATAAACTGTTTAATTCTATCAAAATGTTTCATATTACATAAAGTCAAAAGCGAGTCTCATTAAGTTTTAAATACTTAATTCAATTTGTTTTTTGTGTTTTTTGCTTTTTAAACGAATAAGCTGGAATGTGATTTTAATTTAGTTATGTCTTTATAAATTAGAACAAATGAGCTCAGGTCGTGTTCAGTTCATTTGAAAAGATTTAATTGTTTTTCGGGTTTAAGTGTGATTAAATGAAATCTTATATGTTGAATGTACTTTTTTGTTTCATCTATGTCTATGTTAACACATTAGTTAAGTTCTTTTCAAGTTCTTTTTAATGTCCTATATATGGTTAAAAATTTCTGAGGGTTAATTAAGTGGAAACAGAAAATTCACGTAACTGCAGAACGCTAATGATGTGAACCTTTTCAAGATTTGTTAATAGAATCTATTGGTTTCAAATCATTTGTTGTTTTGAAAAGTCATATGTAATAACAGCGATTCCTTAGTAAAATCACACTTAATGTATCGAGTAGAAATATATGATGTTTCAAACAAATAATTTTATTTTTTGATTGAGATCATGAACCGATTGTTGTTAGACCACCACTGAAAACATGCAAGAACCGTGACTAGTGGAGCTAATCCATGTCAGATAGATACAAGTATCTACCTCAGTACAATCGAAAATAGCCGCATGATCTCGTGGATTGGTTGAGATTTGACATTAACATGATTGGATGCCGGCTCAGTGGTCTAGATGTTAAGCGTTCGCGCGCGAAACTGAAGGCCCTGGATTGGAATCCTGCGAGTGGGATCGTGTATGCGCACTGCTGAGGAGTCCCACAATAGGATTGGACGGCCGTTCAGTGCTTCCAGGTTTTCAGTGATGGTCTAACATCAATCGGTTCATGATCTCAATCAAAAACTTAATAATCTTCACAACCACATAATAGTAAATATATTTGAGTGATTACATCAAAGTGAAAATTCTCGTTTGGACATTTAAAAAATGATGAAATAAGAGAAGAAATATTTCTTTTCAATTAGTTTTTTATTACATCTCCTACAATAGTATGTTTAAAGATCGTTCAAAATTTAAAATGACAGTTTGAAAGGGGTAAGACACTGGGTACGTAGAAGACATTAATGTATGTATGCTTTTCCACCTAACTATGTAGTCCGAACGTATTGACGAAAATAATCAGTTTTAATTATTTATATCTGATGATAAAAATTAAAATGTACAAAAATAATAAAATAGATACTAACCAAATATTAATATTTTAAACAAAACTATTAACAAATCAAAGTACGGATCAGAATATAGTCCAAACAATAAGAATGAAATTGTGCTAGTAGATTTCTGATAGTTACTGTTAGTGTGGTGTGTGCTACTGATGTCGACAAATATAAGTAGCATGTATCATCAATCTAAAATGAAATGTCTGGCAGTAGAAGGTTACGAAGATCTAAGAGAAAAGATCAAGAACATAGAGTGATTGGTATGGAAACGAAGGAACAGTGAAGAGGGAGAAAATTGATTGACATTTTATGAATGCTGTATTTAGTGTATGGTTCTCAGATTTGACTAAAACATCCTGTAATTTTTTATTCAAATACATTTGGTTGTACCCTCCTGTGTCTTCGTTCATTGGAGTACGAAATTTAAAAAAAACTTCAAGTAATAATATACCAGATTAGTATCAATGTAATTAGACTAGAGTTTGCTTCAAGAGTAAAAATCATACCACATTACAGTGAACAATATCAAGTTATAAGGGTCCCTTCGTCAAAATCCAGTTGTATGAGATATATTTTTGGATAATCATTCATACAATGATACATAAATGCCTTGTTATTATTATTATTATTTGACTGAACCTTCTTGAGACATTTTAAATAGATCTGGATAGACAATAAAATGAATGAACTCGGTAAAATACTTAGTTGTAATAAAATTTAATGACTGCTGAGTACTAACCGATGCTGTGTCTGTCTAGTGATGCTTTTTTAACGTGATTGCTAGTTTAGGGAATGCTACTTTAAATCCGTTAGTGATCATCGTTTTCCTCAAGACTACAGGTACGCCATTCTGATGAATGGAAAGTAGGTTCACGTTTTTTTATCTGCAATTCATCTAACATCACTCAGTAATAATGTTTGTGTTTAATTAGAAAAAAGGATTAGTATAAATGAGATTTGTTTGTGAAGACATTTATGATAAACAATTAAGGTAATTTGGAGAAATGTTCATCTGTAAAATAACGGAAAAGTTTGTAAACTCTTCATGTTAAAAGTTAACATCAGTCTTTATAGTTACATATTAAAAAGATTAAGAGAGAGAGAGAGAGAGAGAGAGTTGAGTTACCACTAAGAAGTAGAAAATGATAACAAACCATTTTTAGATACTAATTCTACACTGAACATAAAGTCAAATAAGATAAGACTATTTATAATAAGTTTCATAATCATCTTCAAATTGATAATTCTCTATGAATAATGAATAACTAACATTGCTATACCTATAGCTTGTATTGATTAATGAGTTTTTGAGTTCTTGATAAAATTCTATATTTTAATTTGTTCATTTTTCTTATTTTATAAAACGAAAGGAAGTATTCTTCTCGGTCAACTTGAATTAATCACATTGAACTGTTTATTTTTAGTAAATTATTTGCCCAAAAGAAGATGACTAAATTACAGTTTAAAACTATGAACAAACATTAAGACTTTGAATTATTTCTGCTAAGATTAGTTTTAATGATAAAAATTAATCCTAATATTTATTTGACAGTTTCATTGGTCGAATGAAATCTTAGCATTATGATTAGCCTTAAAAAACTTATTGAAGACATACTGTAATCTAATATAATTCATTCATTCAGATATAATTATGATACAAATAAGGTCATTATTCAATATTGATATATTCTTTTTATTGGTAGCCAATATTATTGTGAAATGTGAATATACACGAATGTATATCTGAATTTAACATATATTTAAAGATAGATGTATATTAAAAGTGCACTGTAATCTAAATATGAAATGAAACAAAATCATTTTTATGGTTATAAGCAAAGATGGCAAGTGGTTAGTAGTGGAATTCAGGACGCGCGTTTCGTTCTATTTGGGAATCATCAGCTGGATGTACCCGTATTACAGAGTTGATGTTCACTCCAGAACTCGAACTCAGTACCGTTCGTTCTGAGCGCCATCGCGTTATCTACTTGGCAACTGAGTCCTGATAGACACTTGCTTGCGCAATGGGTGTACCTTCATTTAGAGTTGATGTGCACTCTGGATGCTAGCCACTATCCGTCTTTGCCTATAATACATATGAACTAAGGCAATATCGAGGCAATACTCACAGTAATCACACATTCCAATAAGTGACTAATCAATTTCAGTCCTAAACATCAATGGAAAGATTCAAGTAAACAATACCAAGTGAATTCATTTATATGTTTGTTGAAAAATTCAGGAATAAAAGTGGAAAGTCAGTTATGCTACTAAGTAATAAACTATAGAGCTTCAAAATTCACTGAATCTAAAGCAATCGACTTATTGTATTGTTAGAGAACCTAAACCAAATATAATTTGTTAGTTAGCCATACGTGTTTATTGTTACAAGCAGAGTTAAAATATGGTTTATCCGTTCACTCTGTTAGATTTGACGATTATGAGGAAAAATGTAAAAATCTATCTGAACGTTTACCAGTCTTTTTAGATTATCCACACGGATTTGTTTTGTATCTTGACAAGAGATATTTTATTTTATGAATAAAACATATAGTATAAAATATATAGTAAAACAACCTCTCTTTTCCTATCTATATTCAAATAGTTATTTGTGTCATCATCTCATTTAATGTTTCACTATCCTATTTACTTTTAAATTACAGAAATATCACAAGTCAATATGTTTCAACAAACAATCTTAAAATGGGGAAAACAATTCAGACGGAACATGCAAAAGATCAGCAAGCGTCATCTTCTTCCCCAACACCATTTCAACAGACTGCTAATGATACAGCAATTGTTACAAATGCTGGACAATTGAGTAGATCAGGATTTTTACGTCATCCATTACGTAAAGCTATGAGTTATGTGAAACCTCAGTCAGAATCTTTTGTATCAGTTAAATCAGCTTCAAGAAGACTTCATCACACTTCAACTATTGAAAAACCGGATGATCCAAAATTCAGATCTAGCAGCAAGAGTTCAAGTCGTAATTCACTTTATAACAATATAAAGCATTTTGATTTATCAACTAAGGTAAGAACAAACCATAAGTCTCAATCTAAAAAATGAAAAAAATTCACTTAACAATTGATTACACCATGTTGGTTACCGCCTTATCATATTTAACTTAGATTTATAGAATGTTTTGTAGGGAAAATCAGAGTTTTGTTTTTCTCAACAATTCATATATCAAATATACTTTCTGTATTGAGGTTGAGCTTACTATGTTTCTTTTCTAGTGTATATTGTGTTTCCACACTATCAAATTTTTGTTTAGATTTTTTACCGACTAGTGTTTGTTTAGACAATTTTGGTTTCCTGTTTAGTAGTTACAATTAATCAATGAATAATTCCTAAGTAACCAGGTATTCATTAAGAAAAAGAAAAAATATTTCGAATATACTAATGGCGATCAAAAGAAAAAAACTGTAACATGATTTAACTATATACAGAAAGCGGTCCCCTTCCTAGATTTTTTAATAGCCAATAACACATTTTTCCAACTTAAAAAATCTCCCCCCATTTTAATAGTATGGTGTTTGAATAATGGCTCTAATTTTTCTTAAGTTTAACAAACAATGTTGTCTAGACGATTGCTTAAACAAAGGATGTTGTTTTAGATGAATCTTTAGATGTCAAACAAAATCTTATGATGGTACTTCAGTTACATGTTTTGCTTTATAACATTATATTAAAGTTGAAATTTGATTGGTCATATATTTTACAGTCTAAATCATTCGACGTCGTTTTTTATATAGAAAGTGGGAATTTTGATTGATGTAGTATTTCGTGGAGCGTGCTAAGGTTTAGCGATATCATTCAAGTGGCAAATGCTAATAATCATATGATTCAATTTGTTTAACAGAAGTTAACAACTACAAAATATTGGTTGTAAGTTATAAGGCAGCGCATTTTAAATTTTATGGAACAACGATAGTTTATTAACAACTAATAAACTAATGGTTTCTTACATCACATTTATGAATCGTATGGAAATGTTTGAAGTTCAAACACCTCAAAAGGCTGTTGTAAGTATTCGCAACCCAATAACATATAGATCTTTTAATCCAATTAACACATCACAAGCTTAAAATGATAATTTCAGAAAATTCTCATAACTTGTACACAATTATGTCAAACGTCTGATTTGTGAAAATATTTAGAATAAAATAACGTTTGAGGACTATTTGAATAACAGCTTTTTTCTAGCAAAGTTGTCTTCTATGGGATGGAGATACGGATCTCATGTCGAACCTTCCTCATATACCCGTGATTAGGATCGGTATTAACTCTAGAAGTGCTATAGGCAGAGTTAATTAAAAGCATAAATGAACGTATTTTCTTTGATAATAATCATTCCGTGAGTATTGATTATGATGCGCAGTGTTAAGGGATCAACTTAATAAAACAACAACAACTCAGTCATTTTAAAACTTTAATTTCTTAGAAAAATGATTTTTTAAATGTGTCTAAAGTGAAAAATAATTTGCATTAAGAAAAGCATTTAAATTGATTTAACAAGTTATGAACTACAATATCGTCAGTTTTTTCTGACAAAAATAAGCGAACGCGATAAAGAAGGTTCCAGTTTTAACTCTATTTTCCAATACTTTTTTATTAAAAATAATATATTCATAAGCTTTCTGTGTATTCGTATTTTGAAAGTATGTAAAATACTGGATATTATCTGGGAAAAAAGTCTCATCAGTATAAGGGTTGTGGAGATTATTAAGTTTTTGATTGAGATCATGAACCGATTGATGTTAGACCATCACTGAAAACCTGGAAGCACTGAACGGCCGTCCAATCCTATTATGGGACTCCTCAGCAGTGCGCATACACGATCCCACTCGCAGGATTCCAACCCAGGGCCTTCAGTTTCGCGCGCGAACGCTTAACATCTAGACCACTGAGCCGGCATCCAATCATGTTAATGTCAAATCTCAACCAATCCACGAGATCATGCGGCCATTTTCGATTGTACTGAGGTAGATACTTGTATCTATCTGACATAGAGTAGCTCCATTGATCACGGCTTCTCATTAAACTTTGAGAATTTCCTTCACGAAGCCATTCACTATTGAGCTCATGATGTGGGGGTTGTGGAAATTATTAAGTTTTTAATCGAGATCATGAACCGATTGATGTTGGAGCACCATTTAAAACCTGGAAACACTGGACGACCTACTTACGTATACGATGTTGTATCAAATAACAAGAACAATTATTAGTTTGTAGGTTTACACTTTATTTATATTAAATCATTCTTTACCATTGTTTCAATAAACCAACTCTGAAAATGTCAATGAAATAACAATTATTGATTTCTATGGCAAAATCTACCAAAACTTTGAACTAGATATATGCCATGCACTACTATATACTATTCAGTATTTTTTTTAAAAAATTGAAATTATCGAAAGGAAATGAGTTAATTACAGCAAAATGTGATCATTACGTAACTCCAGTGCATTTTCAAATTTACAAAATATAGTCCAAAACTAATCAGCAACAAGTCTATATTATTATTATTATTATTATTATTATTATTATTATTATTATCGTTATTAGAATCATTCATAATTTATTTATGTAAACTTGAATTCAACCAAATAAAAATTAATTTCCTCAGGTTTATATTTTATTGATAGTAAAGTACATTAATTATTTCTTGCTTTATTATTCACTATTTCATTCGACTTTTATTTGCTTCTTCTTTTAACAAAAAAATATAAAGACATCTGTGCCAACGAATGAATGTTTACAAATGAATGATCATTCAAATCGATCAACTATACAGGAAGTTTACACTGGGGAATCATGTTATTCAACAACACCTAAACAAGCCATAAAATTTGATGTAGAAAGAAAAACCAAACAAAAAGAGTAAGTAATCCTGATTGTATCTTTTCAATAATAAATAGAATTTCAGGTTGTTAATATATATATATATATATATATATATATATATATATATATACGCCATTGATGTTGCAGTTAGGATATTAAAATCAAAACCATTTTTCAGTGACTTATTTACACAAAGATTTTGTTGATAAGAAAGGAGATATATCTAGGGAAAACAAATGAGAGCGAATTTTATGGTTAATATAACCAATGTGGTGTGTGCTAGTGATGTCAACAGATATAAGTAGTATGTATCATCGATTGGAAGTGATATGGAAGCGATAGTGCTTGAAGCAAACGGTACTCGGTTTGAGTCGCGGAGTGAACATTAACTGTGCGATGCAGGTAAATCCAGCTGACGAGTCCCAGATAGGACGAAATATGAGTCCTGGATTCCCCTTCTAGCCACTATCCATTGTTGCTTAAAAAGCTTGTGACTTAAGGCTATATCGAGGTAATCCTCACAGGATACACATATGCCATGGGGGGATACAAGTAAAACAACACCAAGTGAATTGAAATTTTGGCCAACGAAATATCTGTATGGATTAAATTCACAATTTATACCATCATTTAATTTTTGATAGACCTAAATATTTGCTTTACTGTCTTACATTAAAATGCACTTCTTTTTTCTAAACAGAATGTTATGAAAACTTCAAAATTACTTCCGTATAAACTGCATGTTTTCACGTGACTAAAACGGTATTCAGTTCTTGACGTACTCAGTTTCATACAAATGACAATATACTGAAATAAATCACTAGAATAAATCATTTTGTCTAATGGATTTTTCTAATTTTTAAACTTACATCTTGATAACAGATTGAAATATAATGTCAACTGGCCTATAATGTTGTTGATAAGTTTTACGTATTTTCTATTTGTTTATTTAAAATAAATTAAAATGAACAAACGAAACAGAGTTTGGTAATTAGATTGTTTGGCCATATTTATATTATATGATACAAGTTTGGATATCATCAGTTAAATAGTTTAATTTTAATCTTACTGAATATAGTCACTAAGGTTCGCATTACGATTTATGTGATTTGTGTAATTCAGTTACTAAAAACAATGTCAAAAGCTGAAGTATTTTATCACGATTATTTTAAATAGTCATAGTAATACCGAAAGTGTAGATACTGTCATTCAGTTGTTATTGTTAACCAACAACAGAAATGTTGTAACGTTCATTAATGACAACAGTTACTAATGTAAATAATCAATTATATTGAATGAATGTGAATAGCCCTGTTTAATTTTATAGTGATTTTATAAAATCTATCTCTGATAATTAAGATTTGTGTCTACTATTAATAATAATTTGGTAGATTCCAACAAATAATGATGACACTAATAATCATAATAATATCAATAATAATCGAAATCAGTATTCAAATTATATTTTAGGCAGAGTTGGATGATTATTAACGGCAAAATTCAGGACGTACACTTAACCTTATGTGGGACTCATCATCTGGATTGACCTGCATCACAGTCTTAGTGTTCACCGTGGGACTCGAACCCTATTCATTTCACTTCGAACGCGTTGTTCACTTCAATATTGAGTCCAGAGAGTCAATAGTTTGTGAAAATTCAGTGATAAACACCAATAGGAAAAATTAAACAACTAATACAAAGATGAGTTAAAGTTAAAGTTTACCCTATTGAGCAAGCTAGTAGCTATCAGCACTCAGTAACTAAGCGGGTAGCGAGATGACGTTTGAAGCGAACAGTACTGGGTTGGAGTACCTGAGTGAAAATTAACTCGGAGGCAAGCACACCTAATTGACGAGTCCCAAATAAGACGAGACGCGCATCCTGAATTTCACTGCTAGCCTCCATCATCTATGCTTACAATACTTGTGACTTTAGGTAATATGGAGGCGATTCGTACAGGACAACCACATTCCTTAAGAGATTGATCAATTACTATCCTAAACATCAATGACAACATGCAAACAGCCAATATAAATGAATTCAAAATCAAATTGCATTTTGATGCATCATTACAATTACACTGTATATTCTATTTTACTATTTCGATAACAACAATTTCTTTTATTTCGTTCTTTTGGTAATTAAATTTTTTCCTACAGTGGGAAAATATCTTAACATGAATGGGTAACATATGTTATTGTTTTTCAAATTAACTCATTTACCGAATTATTTCATTTTTTCTTTTACAACATCTTTCATAGGTTCATTTACTTGATAAAGACTTGAGATGTAAACCTATAAACATGAAATATTATACATGTTGCGTTTTATAGGTTTCAGTTTCAGATGAACCCTTTTGTGCATATATATATATTCCGCCATCATGTAAACACGTGTGTAGTGTAACTGTATTATATTTATACTACTGTGATAAACATTTTACTAAAAACATAAGTTGGGTATATATCATCTTCAATTTACGTGTACTCAATACTGTTTGTAGATACCTATTTATTCATAAAACAAAGTAAGAATACTAATTGACAAAAGTATCACTGATGATAACCAAATTAACTCAGTGGATATAAATATGTATAATTAATTAGAACATTACTCTATCAATGAATTAAGAGAAACTAGTAATAGTTTTTATACCTGGTGTTAAATATAGAAAATCTAAAAACTAAACACTCTTTTAAACGACGTGAATCAATTGGATTGTGTTTGAATATTTTAGTAAAGCAATTGTTACTGATTTGTCACTCTTAGACTTACATCACTTTAATTCTTAGATTATAAAATGTAAATATATAAGAAATTTATACTAATTAATTCAAAACGAGCTTAGGCTACTGATTAGTTAATTAATCATTGTTACTAACCACTATCAGAGATACTTAAAGGGAAATATCTTGTGGTTTGGGTTACTTAAATCCATATAAGTAGCATATAATGGTGGTCAGGCATAGAATGTATTTCAGTAGAAGATCGAGAAGGAAAGAACAAGAATGCAATGTAATTGGTATGAAAATGTATGATCAATGAAATCTGAGACAAGGAACTGACATTTGCAAAGTAACAGTGAAGTTTGGGACGATGGATTGATATTTTGTAAATTAACGATTTACTATATGGTTCTCAGATTTTATTAAGATGCTTTGTAATTTCGTGTCAAATACATTCAATCGCCCTCACTGATGTTCTTGTTCATTGCATCTTATTTATATTGGTGTATTATTATTATTATCAATACTATTATTATTAACTGTCAAGGTTTTTGTCGTATTAATTAAAACCAGATCAGAAAAATATAAGACCATTTTAAGAACTAATAAATCTAAAAGAACATTGAACAGATATTTTAACATAGTATGCAAAACGAGACTATAATTTATGAATGAACCAACCAAATTTAGGATAAAATTAGTCTTGGGTTTCGGCGTGGAATTCATTCATCCGTTTGGCTAAATAGCGTTTTGGCATTGTAGCTGATCATAGTTCATGATAAAAACCTTAAATCTAATTTCTAACCTTAATCATCAACTTTAAATCATAATTCTCATTCCTCACACTGGTTTATAATCGTCATTTACTCCTAGATATAGATGGGCATTCTGAAGGTCAGTTTGATGTCTCTCAAAAGTCGTCCATAAATTATAGTCTTGCCGTTGATGAAACAATCCAAAGTGTGACTGGTTCCCATAAATATGTTCACAAAACAGATCCTAATGATTAATCATGTTTATTCAGAATTCGTTTTCGACTTTTTTGCTTTATTCCAGTTAAACAGTTCATCTAATTGAAATACAGTTTTGAAATCGCGTTATAATTATTTTCAGGAGTATAAATTTGTTATTTTAAAATTTAAAGAAATGAACTTTAGCAATAATCAAGTTTATTTCAATTAGTTTCGATCATAGTTTTACAACTCTATATATAACTGACCGGTAATCGAGTGATAATCGATGTTATGTTTGCCCAGTTCCTCAGCACTGATCGATTTTTTTTCGATCAATTTAAAACATGATCACTATTTTAAAAGATTCGACATCGAGTGCACCTTTTTTAGATATTCAGTGGCTGGTAGGGAACCCCAGATATCGGTTTTGTGGTAATCGACACTAGTCGAATAGGCATACCTGTAGTCTTGAAAAGAATGTTACCAATTGAATTCTGGCCCTTAATGACCAGCATCGTCGTTAGAGACATTAACACTGAGTTATTCGAACAGTCGTTACAATTGTTCATTAAATTAATTACAATTAAATGATGATAACTCAGTTAACAGTATTACAAATTCTCAAGTATTTGTTGAACTAGTAATGAATGATTAATAAGGTAATTTCTAACATCAAAGCGTACAAGGTAATAGTCATATTGAAAATAGAAACAATCTAATAAGTAATCTATAAGTGGCTGCAATAAAGTTAGTATATAAGATATTAAGTAGTAACATAATTAAGAAAAAGGATTGTTAGAAGATTGAACATCGTCAATCATAAACACATCATGTGATAAGACGTTCATTGATCAACGATTTGATTTGGAAAAGAAAGAGTAGTTATAAGTTTGACTCTCATAATAAACTTGTTTGGCATTTTTGTTCAATGAAATTAACGGCTTCATAAATAATCTATTGACTATGCCCACACGTGATGGCATTGTATAATGCCAATTTTATTGTTTTATTTCGTCGTGTTTTTCGGTTCCTACGATATAAATTTGTTGAAATCAATGTTGCTTTTTTCACAAAATCTGAGTATTTCTTGGTACCTTTCCATAAATAAAGAAGTAATCAGTGATAATGAATCAAATATATAATCATTATATTTAAATTGAAAAAATATGGATGTAATTAAAAATGTTGCCACCTCATTCCAGCTGAGTGGCCTAAATTTTATGAACTAACCAAGAAATCTAAAATTCTCAGGTTTTATTCTATGAAGAGAGTGGACATGTACAAATGACTACGTTCATACCAGAACTAAGCCATTGACTAGTTATTCCCAGTTTTTAATAATTCTTTGGTTGATATCACTGATTGACGAAATACACTTATTCAAAAGTATTTATTAACAAAGTATAACAACATAATTATTTTAATATTGTATTTCTCCTAATTATAGTATCCGCCATTTGAATGATTTAATAACGAATATTTTACCAAGATCGTTCTCTAATGCATTTAAACGACCAGTAGGTAAATGTAAAAGCGCATCGCCTACAACAGTAAATGATCATCATATAGAAAAACTGATTGATTCTTTCAGATTTGATAATTTTGAAGCGGAAAGTCAGCATTCAGAGAAATCTTCTTCTGATTTCTTAACACCTAATGAAGCGTCTCCAGTTCTTAGTGATAATAATGTACCAACACGAAGTCAACTACAACAATGGGAACAATCATTTGATAAGCTTTTAGCTGATACAGGTAGAAAAATGCTTTTTTTGATTAATTACTGTGTACGTTTCAATATACCTGAAAATATTCATTTAAAATAGATAATTTGTTACGTATAGTTAAAATCGATATACAACACAAACGTATTCTTATAAAAGTTTAAATGTAATGTTTCACGTATTTGTGTTATGTGAAGGAGATTAGATAGAGATCCTGGATTTAATCCTTGGCAGGGTCATCAATAAATATTATTGTGAGATTCTTTATTTAAATGAAATAGCCGTCAGGTACTTACAGGTTCTCACTGTTTGTCTAACCAAGGTTATTCCATGATGTAAAGTATGTATATATAATAACAATCCATAATTTAATCTTCGAACACAACAATGTCATAAACTAACTAGTTTCATTGTCAATAAACAATGAACTTTAGCGAAGTCATTTCTTCGAAATTCTTTAAATATTTGTAATTCATCAGTATCAACTCTTTAAGATATAATATGTCAATCTCAACTGAGAACCAATGGAACTTAAACCTATGTTTATAATTTGGACAAGAAAATAATAACTAAATCACCGTCATAAATTTCGTCAACTATCTAATAAATGCAATGAATATCAAGAACTTATGTGTTTGATCGAAAGGATCAAATAAGAATGGAATATTATCGAAAAGTGATAAACTTAGAGGTCGTTTAAGACTCATTGTATACTTACAACTGTTTTACTGTTATTCTTCAATAATAACAATAAGTATATGGCTTCCTGTAGCAGTAGTATCTAGGTTTCTCAAAGTGAATTCAAGTAGAAAGCTGTTGTATTAAGTTTTTCATTTATTATCATGATCAATAACACTACTTGAACAGTTAGTATCTTTTCAATTTTTTAAAACATCAAATACTCATAGATTTTTATGCTGAATAGAATCACAAACATGCCATTTTTTTCTTTAAATTCACTCATTAGTAAGTAATTTTACGCATAATTTAATTTTACAGATGGTTTATCTCAATTTCATCACTTTCTGAGATCAGAATACAGTGAAGAAAATATAGAGTTTTGGTTAATTTGTGAATTATATAAACATCTACCACAAGAAGATCTTGGTGAAGAATCACGAAGAATCTATCGTCTTTATTTAGCACCACATTCACCACATGAGGTAAATTGTGAACTAAAATTAATTTTACTATATGTAATACATGAATATGAAAACATTTGTATTTAATTAGTGGTGACTATGGAAAGTACCAATTCGCTGTGGTTTTTTGATCGACTGGTCATAAAATACGTTTTAGGTTCCCTAATAACACAATCTGTTAGTACAGTGTATTTATTTTGTTTTAAAAGTAAAAAAATATGTGTTTTAAGGTTATAATACAAAAGCTAGGAATAATAATACTTTTATTTTCTTAATATTACTAAACATTTGTTTTACAAATGACCCAGGTATTTGATCATATTAGTTCTCTGAAACTACCACTAGGAAGTAGTTGTGAACTTCCGTAATTGGTTGACTTTCTTGAACATTTTAAACAGCATAATGTTGGAGTCATTATAAACTCTAACTAATGAAATCCTTCAGCCGTCGTTTCCTAATTATCCCTTCAGCTAGCAGCTCGTTTGTTCTCTCCCGCAGTAGGCTATTGCTAATGGTATCCGGTCAACGGACATTTAGTATCTTGAGTAAAAAATTGTTCATAAACGCTTGTACCATTATGATGTTGGTTGTTGTAGCCCTCCAAATTTCAGCTCCAAACAGTAGGACTGTCTTGACGTTCGTATTCTGACTTTGATGTTGGCTGACAGTTGTATTGATTCTGTATGTTCTTCAGTTGTAGGGATAATGACGTTGCTTTGATAATGCTTGACTTTAGGCCTGTATCAGATCTTCCTTGTTCATCCGTGATGCTGATCAGGTATGTGAAAGTTTCCACCTCACTTAGAGCTTTTCCATCAAGTGTGATTGGGTTGTTGTTCTCCGTGTTTTATTTCAGGATCTTTCTTTACGCTTTGTGTTTCAGAGGCTACACTGCTACACTGGCTAGTGATTTTCTAGTATGGTAAATATCTGCTTACCATAACTACTTTCACGGATTATTGATATAATCATAGTGAGTAGTGTAAATACAAACTATTAAAAAACATATTCATATTGTAATCATTTAAATATTCACCGATTACGTCAATATTCCGAAGTATATCTTAATAAATAAGTGACTGTCATATAAGTTTTGTTAGTTCAACTGAAGTAAATTACCGTGTAAATTACTATATTTTCTGACCAAAAGAATTAACACAAGCCAAGTGAAACCTTAGAAATTTCATTTCAGTCTTCTTTAAGTAATTAATTGAAATAAAATTCACTAAACACAGACCATTCTTATATAAATAATTCAATAATTTGGTTTCTATAATCTACTTAGCCATAATAAGTTACTTTCCCTATACTTTCAATTTATAAAGTATATTTTCATCATGATCAAACATTTGGTGATGTTAGAATAAATGATCGAGGTTTCGGATGGCAAAAATTAGTCAGTATCTTTTATGTCGTATGTATATACGTAACCTATAACAAATTTTGTAATTATCAGTCAATCTTTTTATATAACCGTTATATTCCTATCGTTAGGAATCTTTATATATATTTAATATCTGGATCAACTTCTTCAGTATATATGACTGAAAAGATCTTTTTAGTCAAGATAGGATTAATTGAGCAAACCATTTAAGAGTATACAGATATTTATTGTAACAGAAAAGATTATCAAGTAGTTATTGTATTATTTGTAGGGAATGATTGAATTCATTTTAAACCATATATAATTGTTCACTCAGAAAGTTCTCTATTTTTGAATACCTACTACTTCACTTAGAAAATACTTAAATATTACTTATTGATCAAACGTATGTTATTAATATGTTAATTCATGACCGTAGGAAGATCCATACAACTTCTTTTATTTTAATATACAGTTCATCAAAAAAACCGTATTGCATCACTTACACCTCTGTTTGTATGCTCTATGTTACACATAATGAAAAAGACTTTAAACAATGAAAACTCAAAATTCTATTTTTTTTAAAGGTTAATTTAGATTCGGAAACTCGGAATCAAACAATCGCTAGCATAACAAATCCAACTAATGAATCATTTGTTTTAGCTCAACAAACTATTCAAGGATTAATGAATAAAGACTCTTATCAACGGTTTTTACGTTCTTCATTTTATTTTGAATTAAAACAATTAGTTTGGCATACATATCCACAAAATGATGAACCTACAAAGACAGAATCTAATATACATGATACTATCATATCAGATAATCAAATTCAAAATTTCATATCAAGAGATCCAGTCATTGACAATACATCCAGTCCATGTTCTGAAGAAGAACATGTGAAGGTAGGTAATATAATTACCAAAATATTTTTTCCAATTAAATATCGACAGGTAAGAACTAAAAACTAAATTGAATTATACGCCAAATTTCTTTTCAAATAAACCGTTTACTTACTTGATAAACATTAAACTTTTATCTACTTTGTATATAATCTACTATAAGTCGTAAATAATCTGATTACATTGTTTCTCAGACAAGAAAGTTTTATAATCTAGCTTGATTGTTCTGTAATTTGACGAGAATATTTTTCAATAACCATTTGAATGAAATTTTAATTTGTTAATTGGATAGACAAGCCAATGTACATTAGTTAAACTATCATGGGTGTATTACACAAAAATATAATATACACTGATAGCTAGATCAATATAATTAGTCTGTGTAAATCATAGTAACCTAATAGATATTCGAAAATTTTGTTTAATCTAGTAATTAGTCTGCTTTTCCTAATTAACGAACAATAGTCAAACCACAGTTTTACACTAATGAGTTACAAAATTATGAATAAATGTCAAATTGTTTAGTCATTAGCCATCTATCGAAGTTAACTGAATAATTTGTAAGGCATATGATAAATTGACTGAGAATGCATAGTGACAGATTTTTGTTTGGTGTTAAGACTTCTACTCAAATTACTTGGTAGTACACTTTTCGAATAGAAAGGAATACAGATCAATAAATTTGATTACATATAACATTGTGTCCTAATGAGTACGTGATTGTTTAACAGAATAAGGTCTTATGATTTATCCAGTCAATAAATACTACTTTTAGAGAAATGTACATTTATCATTTATATAAGGGCTAAGACTCTATCACTAAAGCAAAGAGTTTATTTTCAATCAATGTCTAGCTTAAATGTATCTAAGGTTAAGCCAGTATATTATCATTATGGAAAATCAAATCAATTAGAATAATACAAAATGTGGATAACTTGTCATATGATTAAAATTACTATTTTTTATTCATTACTACTATTAATTAAATGCTACGAAGATATTTATTTATAGTTTAAACGTTTTAAATTGATTGTTAGATCGTATTTACACTTCCAATCAACATTTATGTGATACGGTAATCCAACTCGTACAGTTGATCAAATCGTCTTTGAAACTTGTGTGTAAAATCTAGTCACCACTTTCGATGGTTATTTTTACTACCCTTCTACTATATATGATTGTAAGTATATTTTATCGTTTACTTAATTAGCCGTTAAGTAACTTAATAGCTGAATTCATGTCTATTAAATCTAGACCACCATGAAAACCTGGAAGCAGTGGATGGCCGTTTCATTCTAGTATGGGACTCCTTAGCAGTGTGTATCCACAATCCCGAATGCAGCACTCGAACCAAGGACCCTCGATCTCGAGCGCGAACGCTTAACCGCTAAACCACTGAGCCGGCATCTAACGGTGTTAATTTCTAACTTCAACCAATCCACGACACTGTGCGACAGTCTACAATTGTTTTCCGTGAGTAACTACCTCACAACAGATATGGTTGAACTCCACTGGTCCTGAAATCTCACTGGGACTCGTAAAATACTAAGTCAACTGCTGATAACGCTCTATAATAAAGTTACCTTTATAGATTACATCTTTAATTAAATAACATTGTTTTGACCATTCTAATTTCCAGAAAAACCAGTTTATTCGTTCTTCTTAAGTCACATTTTCACCTTGTCAATCATTCACTTATTACCTTGACTGTTTTTATTTGAGCATATATGTATTGATCGCCCTATTACTCTCATGTTTCTAGCTTATTTTGTATGGTTTTAAATAATGCGTCCCGCTTTATTAAAATGCGTTGACTCACTTGCCATATCCTCTTGGCTTCTCCTTCATGGTTTTCATTTTGAATGTCTATATAGATAAACGAGTCCTTGAAATAGATTCAACAAACACAAGCCATAGTAACTTTTTGTTACTACCGTCACCCAAACAGCGTTAATCTAGGCATAATATACGGGGTTAAATAGCAGATTTATGTTTATAACATATTCATTTGGTCTTCATGATTGAAGTCAGATCAATGAACCGCTAAAAAGGCATGATTAGTTCATAAATTTGTTCAAATGTTTAAATTTACTCACATAATGATAGTTTAACATGGTAGTTATGATGTACTCGTTAAATGATAAAAACTTTGGAAGTATTTACTGTCACGGACAGATTCAGATTAGATGTTCAGGAGTCAGGACAATCATGTTTTCAATTTGACTTTTCGGAAGTGTAGACTTAAGACTTCATATAAAACCGAACTGATGACCATGTAGTATTTCGTAGTCAGTTCAAGTAATTTTGTTATTCTCTTATGGTCCACAATTTTGGATTCAGTTAGTTCATGATAAACAGACACTATTTATTGTTATCGATGAATTCTGTCTTATCCTTAGCGTGATCGGAATTTACAGGTCACGATTTCTGACAAAAACTTTGCGAATATTTCTCAAAAGTAGTCACTAATTAGTATATAATAATTGCTAACATACATCGTTACTTATATGAAGTCAATATGGGATGTGAACTGAAAAACCAACAATCTCTACAAACCTACTCTATATTAATTACTTTATGAAGTTAAAACCCGTCTTAATTAGTTGGCTTTAACTTGATTATTTTATGTAATAGATTGTAAATTATACCGAATTATCATTTTATGCACATAATTTGAAACAACATTTATACTTTCTAAACTTATATTTATTTGAACATCGTAATCCGTCTGCTAACAATTTACGTGATTAAAGTGTTTGATTCGATTAATTAATGACATGACTGAAAATTATTTACTTCTCAAGTTAATCTATGTGATTTATTATTTCATGTTAGACAGTGGCTAGCTTTGGAATCCAGGTTACGCATGCCATACTGTTTAGAACTAATTAGATGATTGTCTCTTTATTGCAATAGTGATACTCATATGAATTTATAGACTCAGTACCTTTATCTTCAAACTCAAACTCGCTATCTACTGAGCTACTGAATGCATATAATCATAAGCTCGATTCCATTTTCTAGCCATGACTTAACCTTAGTAAAAGCTCATGATAAAATAACAAACCTGAGACAATCTACTCAAAATTCATACATACCAGTAGAGACTGATACATGACACATAAATATGAAACACACTATTTCAATAGTGACGTCTTTATTCATGATAATGATAGTATATATATTCATGATCTTAAAGATTTAAATGTTTTACAACTGTTATCATTAACATTATTAAACTATTTCTAAGTTCAAAATTCATAAAAGAATAACTTTTATCTGTCATCAGAAAATGTTTATAAAGATTACAGAATAACTTAATTTGATGAATGATTAAATGCTAAAAAGAACAAATTACAATAAAATAAATAAGATCTCTTGTTTGGACGAAGCAAACTGAATAGTAGTAAAACAAAAATAAGCAAACAAATATCCGGATAAACAAATAAACAAATGATTATAAGCTAATAGTGATAACTTGAAACAAGTAGAATATAATAAAAGAAACATCATAACTATATTCAAGATAATAATATTAATGAATGAATGTAATAATCAGTTGACTTCACTGAATAATTTCATTTTGATGAAAACACAGATGGTGAAATGTTTTATCTCTTCTTCTTTCTTTTTCTCCCCTTGAAATTAGTTTAATAAAAGAAACAAATAACAATAATGACAAACGTTAATGATCTTAGATTACAAAAACAAATAATATTTAATCCTGAGATAATCTCAAATGTTTGTTTACTTAGTAATAAGACGAAATAAGGAAAAAAATGTTTCATTTAATAGTAGGGAAAATTCGTTGCTCAGGTGGATCATTTTTATGGAGTTTTGTTCTTTTGACGATGAAAGCTCCACGAGCAAATCATCCAGCTCTGAGAACAAAACTCCATCAAAAGTTTCATCTAATACATATCACTTATGTGTATCATCTTTTATATTGTAAAACTAGATAAAATATGTTTAAATAATTGTTAGCTTATCAAAACTTTTCATAGTCCTGTGATGACTGACCCTATGTCGAGCACACACAGGTTATTCTATTTTCTGGATAGACCAATCTATTCATTTTTCCTAAACTATATTTTGACCTTTTCACTTTGACTGCTTTTATGTAAGCGTATACGTAAGGTTTCTTTTTATCTTGATTATCATGTGTCTGTAACTTATTTTTATCTTATTATAAAAATCGATTCATGCTTGATTAAATCGAGTTGGCATACATGCGTTCTCAACTGGGCGTCATTTCGCTTCGCTCTCTTCTCTTTGCATTATTCGACTTCTTTGTTTCGTTTGTATGAAATTGTATGAACTGGTATGAGATATACGTACTCGAAAGTCATTCTCGTATTTGACTTGTTTGATTTCATTATCCCCTAACGTACAATATGTCGATAATTATATTCGAGGATTGGCGATGTGTATATTTCAATAACAATCATAATACGATTTATATGAAGTCAGATATCGTACCACTGAAGTCTTATAAAGACTTTAGTCATAAACACAATAAATAATAGTTACTCAATCATTGTTTTCAGTTAATTAATTTAGCATACCGTTAAGCACAACAGGATAATAATTATTGGTTAGTCAGTCTGTAGAATGTGTTCAGTAGAACAAAATCACTAGAATGTAATGAACAATGCTGTATTATTTAACTAGCGAAACGCCATAATTATATATTTACAGTCTTAATTAAATGAGAAGCTTTTAAAAATTGTTTGTTGTGAAGATGGTTTGGATCACTGATTGAATTGATACAAAAAAACAATTAAAAATCACATAGCACTTGATAACTATATCATCCTAATTTGGGACTCTAATACCATACCATCTTGTAGTTACTAAGTTACATTTCAGTTTAGGGAATCTGAATCATTTATTAAGTATATTATGTGTCAGACCACCATCGATATAGCCTCAAATCACAAGGTTTTTAATCAAGTACATCCAGTTGATGAGTCCTAAATAGGACGAAACGCTGGTCGTGGATTCCACTGCTAGCTACCATCTATCTTTGCCTAACAGAAAACAATTCTGAAGTTCATCACATGAATACATATTATGCATAAGAATAGAATAAATAATATAGTTGCATTTATTCAGTTCGATAAATAAATTGTCTTGATATGTTTCAAAAAGTGGAACAATCAGTTAGTGATATTTCAGACATTAGTTTACACTCATCTGTTGAAATACTTTAGCATCATAATTGTATTAAAGAGCATTTGTGAAGAAAACTAGTCGATATGAATTCAATTCAACCTTTTGTTGTCCATTTTTCTCTGAATAACAAATACAAAAAAAAATAGTTTTTTTATTTGTAGTTTGTTTTAACGCTTTAATGTGTACATCATGTAAGACGCATACACTTTACGAGAGAATTTACCTGGATACCTGATGTAACTTTTTGTGTTACGTAATATATAACTAGAGTATTGACACTAACAAATAGATTTTACAAATTGTTAATTCTTAAACTATGATCGGTTTATTTGAAGGAGCTGTGGTTAGACCAAAAGCTGTCACTAGACATAATTAAAATTTTACATTACTGAGGTATTATTATTTTTTGATAAGCTACGTGAAGTTTCAAATGTATTGATGACTTTGTTTAAATGGTTGATGAAAGTTGATTGAATGTGTAAATAGTTATTTTCTTGACCACTGAACATCTAGAAGAATTGTAGAAATGTTTGATTATAAATTCATTTATGATGAACTAAATTGTATAAATGTGCAAATTTCTCGCCCACCCAGGATGTATTTAGCACAGATAAAAATCTTAGTAATGTTCATTGTAGAAATATGTTTATAGTTCAATCTTAACTCCCCGAGAATCCTCATCTTCATGATGTTTTCAAAGCATAAATCAAGCAGAGCTCCATTTGACACATGAAAAGTCACTTAATCTAGTATTGATTCTTATTTATTTATTTCTGTAAATAATGCCTAAACCTGCAATTCTCTTTTATCATCAAGTGTGGTATGATTCTCAAATATAATATTGTTTACCACAGTTCAACAATGTATACTACACTAGGTAATGAGATTTATCTATTTAATTTACAAATTTATTCAAGACATATTCATAACAGTGTCTACAAATGTGTTTGACTTGCGCATAGATTGGATCTCCGGTTGTGTTTTAAAATGTAATTGATGCAAAAGTAGTCATGTTTATAATATAATGCAAAGTAACGGATTATGGTGTTAATAGATGAGAAGGTGAAAGAGTAACTCAGATATGATATTAGATGTTTGAGTCATACGGCGATTTCACGGAACCCGAATATGTAGATAACCGTGCTCTGACTGAATTATTTAATGATACAGTGTTTAGCAATAAATCCTATGTTTTTGTTCATTTTTGCATTAGTTCCTTGAATTTTTCCATTGATGTTTAGGACTGCAATTGATCAGTCTCTTATTGAAATATGTACGTCCTGTAAGGATGGCATCGATACTACCTTCAGTCACAAGCATTATAGGCATAGATGATAGTGGCTAGCACGTTTCCTCTTATTTAGGACTCGTCAGCTGGATGTACCTGCGTCCGAGTTGATGTTTACTCTGGGGCTCGGACCCAGTACCGTTTACTTCACCCCACTCCACAAGCTAGTTCCTATCTGGACTCAGTAACTAGGTGGATAACGCGATGGCGTTTGAAGCAAATAGAACTGCGTTCGAGTCATTGAGTGAACACCAACTCAGATGCAGGTACCTCCAGCTGACGAGTTCCAAATAGGATGAAATGCACGTTTTGGATTTCACTACAGGTCACCATCATCTCCGATTATGAAAATGTATTCTTTATCGAAACTAAAGAAATAAAATTCTATTAGCTGTAGAGTGACGTATTCAATTTGATTATTTATCAACTCAAGACAGAATTCTGAATTAAAGAGGATCAGGAATTTAAAATTATCTTTAGACCATCTAGTTCAAATAGAACATACAGTCAACATGGAGTAATCGTTTGCAATAATATATCGTGTTAACAGTAGTCTACCTAATTCCGTCAGACTGCGAATCTTACAGACGACTGAAGCAGTTGCTATTCGGATGAAAAAACCAGAGCTTTGCATCCGAAAGAAATATGTTCAGCCACTCCTTTTAGCCTGGCCAACTAGTTAATAATCAATTTTATAATATGGTGACGTAATTTGATTAATTTTCATTTTATGTCCCAAACTTATTATTATTATCTTTATTACTGTTATTATCATCTTTATCGTTATTATAATAATTATCACTACACTCGATAACCTTTTTGAGGAATTTATTCAATATCCACCCCTAAATCTACTATATCTGACCTAATTCATATTATTCTATATACTACATAATTTTCGATTTTTATTCCATTAATTTCTCTATCACCCCATGTTGACCATATTTATTCTGATCATTTATCGTACAATTTCATTTCACTTATAAACTGAGTCAAGTTAACAACTTCATATTATTCAGCCCCAACATTAACGATTTGATTTGATTTTATAGAACAAACAACAATTCTTAATTCACATATTACAATTTCCAAATGATGTACTCTGCCTTAAATCTGGCCAATTTTATGGATTATTAGTTTGGATTTATAATTGTAGAACCTGATGAGAAACTATTTAAAAGAATATTCTTCGTCCATACAATTGTGTTTTAAAATTATCTTTTAGTGTAGATGAATAAAGGTTACGGCCTATTTTCTTTATTGGATCCTACTTAGTGTTATAATTTGTACGTTTTTGTATGCTAACTATGTTTCTTTCATTTACTCTCAGGAGTTCCTGCGATTTCCATCAGTATCATATTCAACCATTAGTTCCCCTAAACAAACTGCAACGTCTCATGAAACCAATTTAGAAGGTCATATTCAGCCGTCGAAAACAATACCTTCCCCGTTACTTGATTGTACTGTGTCCAGTTTATTCCACAAGCATATAGAGGATGATGAAGAATTATCATTTCATGAGAATAGAATTGAACATCCTACTTCTGCTCAAACGAATGACAATTTATCCGTTCAGGAATTACCGAATTCTGTTCACACTGAAGCAGCGCCACATTCTCCTAAACTTTGTTATACTGGATATACGTTGTCCAATACTGATTGTTATAAATTAAAACAAAATATTAGAGCAGAGTTATAATTTTAAACTGACTAGTTCATATGATTCATTTTTTTATATCGCCATCATAGTAAAACAAATTTTTTGATAAAAAAAAATGTACTACTATCTGATAAATATTTTCATTCATTAACTGTGATATGTTTTATTGTAATAACTTTCGCCCCCAAAAAATTTTCAATCTTCGTTAATGCTTTTGTGATGTGATGGATATTTCAAGGCGTTGAAATATTACAGAAATGTTTATTTCACACTACTTGTATTTATAAGCGGAGTGTTCAATTCAAACATGGATACTATAGCCCATTTCATACAGTCCATTTTTAATTGAAAGTAATTTTTTGTACATTACATCTAAAAGAAAATCGTTTCGTAATTTAATCTGGAAACAAATTTGATCCCATAATTTTATTCTCAAACATTTAATAATCATCTATTTCAGTACGACTTTTTATCACACAGAAGTGATGAATGATCTTGATTATTAGGTCTGTAGGTGAGCAAGTTATGCTTCACTATCAATTTATCTCGTGAAAGCAACTGTTTAATTAGTTAGTTCAAAATGAAAATCGGATGAAAATGATAAATTTTTAAAAGATGTTACTTAATGAGTAAATGAGTAGTCTGAAAACAATGAGATAAGATACAATGATCATTTCCACTCAAACAGCTTGACTAAACTAAATTAATCCAACTCTATAGATTTTCTAGTCAGCTGAGCTTATGTTGATATTGTTAGTGGCATGTTGTGAACTGATGTTTACGTGTTTGTTAAACAGAGTTTGTCGTTCCGTGATGAGTCTTTTTCTCGGAATTAATGAAATATGCTTAAATATCATACACTTTCTGGCAACATAGACATTAACTTAATGTCAAACCTTTATATACTTAGAAAGGAAATTCAACTCTTAACGTATCGTCATATTACAAACCACTCAATATTAATCAACATCATTATGAACGTCATTTGTCCAAGATGTGAATTTTTAAGTGATATTTTCTAATAAATTTTTGTCTGCATTGAAAATAACACTAAAGACTTTCCTGTATCCCTTTCAACAGTGTTCTGGATTATAAGTAAAACATAAAAAAGTTTGTTTTATCTTGATACAAACCCGAATGGACAAAAACTTTCAAGATAAACTACGGCATGAAATCACACAAAAATCAATTTTAGCGTCAAGTGGTTGAATCTAATCCACAATTGAAAAGAAATTAACAGTTATTGTTAAGATGCAATTATGTACACACAGTTGCGTAATCACATCACATTGATTCGGGTCAAAAAATGAATTATACATAAATATGTCGAATTGGCTACTTGCTTTTGAAAATTTATGTATTACGAACCGCTCAATCTGCAGTGTTTGGTGAGTTGAAAAGAGGTGAGAGAAGACATTCTCAAAAGCTTCAGTGAATTTTGATTTTCTCTGTCTTCATACTTGAAAGGATGCATTTCATTCTGATAATAAGGAAAATGAGAACACTGTAGGAATGTGTTAATTTCTATGATATGACTGATTGTAATGAACAAAGACTTAGGTGGGGACAACCAATTTATTATTTTGTACAAAATTACAGAACATCTTGGTAAATTATGGAACCATACATTAAATGCTTCAATTGCAAATCTTCCATCAATTGTCTTTTACATTCTGTCTGATTATTCCAATTCATAACTCCTTTCTATTTCCTTTTCTGCTGCCGGCCATTCAACTTTTGATTGGTGTTACATATTCGTTATATCTGTCAACATAAGTAGCATATACCATAGTATGAGTGGTTAGGTAAAAGTGACTAATGCATCGTAATTTACTTTGAACACTGATTAATCCGAATCGTAGAATGAAATCTATTTAGCGTTTTCATTGTCCATTTCACTCACTGAATTGTGGTGAAAGTGGAGTTTGGGTTGTAATGATACATTTTTAAAATGATTCTGTCAAAGTGTTTAGGGTAAGAGAACAGTCTGAGTAGCTTGGTGTAAACAATAAATATGATCAGTTAACGAGTCACAGAATGAATGATGCACAAAGTTAGTTATTCAGTGTATGCCAAATAGTATTTCATACGTATATCAACTGATTATTGAAGAGTAATATATATATATATATATATATATATATATATATATATATATATATATATATATATATATATTGGTCTGGGAATACGTTTGCAAAATAGTTCTAAATCAAAAAATTAATTAAAATGCTTGCAAAAGTAAATGTTTTCAAATCGGTTATTGAGAATACTAGGTCCCTGTTCAACTGATTAGAGTATATACATTAACAATGTTCATAGCTTTTATGAAACTACCCCAACCGATCCGAATTTAGATCCTTGTAGGCAGTTACAGTTTATAATTTTCTTGTGAACTAACATGTATTCGTTTACCATTACAGCTCATTTTATTAATAAATGGTTTTATCACTTTGACAGCCAATTTTCTACTTTTTCTCGATGCACTTCTATGTTAACCACATTGTTAAATAAAAACAACTGATATCTGGGTGTTGATAACATTTCGTCCGATTGTTCAACTCGGTGGTAGCTTGAATTTTTGTTAACCAGTTAAATATCCCTCAAGTATCCTAGGCCTAACATCATCAGAAACCACACGATTTTTCGCCATTCGACTTCGATAATCTTTGAAAATCACTGGTAAAATACTCAACACTTACTTCTAAATTCTATCTTCGAAGTCTGTATTTTGTTTGTACAGTAAAAAATGTGAACATTACAGAATATTTTCACGTGCATATACAAATGAATTTCAGATAAGTCTATGCTAATCATCCCACTAAATCTATTGAAAGAAGTACGCTTAACAGTCGAGTGAAGTAAAATCACCTTGAAATAGAAATGAACTGTCTTAATTTCTTTTCAATGAGACCATGGGTTGCTTTTTGTGAGGACAGCCCACCGGTGAACTAGGGGAAGCTCTAAGAAGCCCATAAAGAGCCGAAGATTTTCCATCCAATCATCTTTCGGAAGAACATTCCAGAATTTCGACGTGTAGTTACGCTATTGGATAACTATGATGATGATTTCGATTTAACTAAAAACTATAAATACCTGAGAATTTTGTACCATATTGACACTGTTTGGAATAACATTCCTACTCACTTGTCTTCTGCTTTCTCATTTGCAATTTGGAGAGTTCTAGCATTGGAGTGCTCAGGTGGTACGCTGTGTATCAAGAATCTAAGCTCCATATCTGACACTTTTGTTACAGAAATAATTGTTGATTTGAAATCTAAAATGTAGATTCCTAACAAAAAGGTTACAAGTGTTTCATTCAAAATCCAATTAAATATCAAGATTCCCATCATTATAAGACTGAATAATTTTGATCAGTTTAGGCGGTGATAACACTATCAGTTGTATTAGTTAACATAGGAACTCTGAATCATGTGATTCAAACAAGCTGTCTATACATATCTTATCGGGCATTTGATTCATTACTGTATGTGTTAGTTTAATATTATACAATCAATAAATAATGAATTGAAGTATTATATATAGATTTGTAAGCTTCGAGTAGGTTCTCATCCACCTTTAGGTACAATCATAGAATTAAAGATGATCAAATAAGAATGAAAAGAACAGACATCGTTTTTGCACGAAATTCAACAAATGATTGACTGATTTTATATCACATAATAATCTCAATAGAAATTCGAACAATTCAGTGAAGAAATTTTCTGTTTCGATAATACCATTTACTCAAGCTGTACAATCGTATTTATAGTGGAGTTCCATTATGTTGGGTGTGAGGCAGTTACCGACCGAAGACAATCGAAGATGGTCAAGCAATATTGTGGATTGATTGAATTCAGACGTAGTTCTCGTCATCCAATGGTGAGTCATTACCAACACATTAACATATAACAAGTATATAAATATTTGCTTTATATAGATGAACTTCTTTATCGCTTCTGTTAACGAATAAGTTGTGTGGGGGTACCAGATTCTGGACAGTCCACTTTCGAATAGGAAGATGAACATAGTGGACTACCTTTCTCAAACTCTATGGTTAGAAGAAATTCTAATTGTAGTCTTAATCTAACCATGTACCGAAAACTGACACATTTAAATCGGTATATCGATTTTACCTATGCGCATCCATTCAGTGAGGAAATTTACCTAGCACTCAAGCCTTTCAGAACAGCAACCATGATCATTGTTTCAGAAGGAGACAAATAAAGAAAAAGAGAATATAATAAACATTTTACGACTTAGTAATTTCCCTAAATAAATTATTTAAAACATATTAAAACAAAACTGTCCTGAAGAAAGATCTTGGATTGGTATTGTGGTTTTGCATTACCGCGAAGGTACGGCATGAGAATTGAAGCGCCTTTTGAAAACGTACAAAATTAACGCTTTCTATAAGATAACTAATACTCTAAGAAACTCTTTAGTTAGAATAAAAGAAAAGATCCGGTTCACTTCCACATAATACTGTGTCTACACATTAAATTGTGCCGATTGGAGAGTCTTCTCGTGGGATTTCGGTTCATGCCAAGGAACGTTTAAGTTATACAAAAAGACCTAATAGTTCCGTAGAATCTGAAAAGTTAAAGGTTAAATCCGCAGTATCAGTATATTACTTACTTACTTACTTACGCCTGTTACTCCTCATGAAGGAGCATAGGCCGCTCACCAGCATTCTCCATCCAACCCTGTCCTGGGCAATCCTTTCAAGCTCTTTCCAGTTCTTATTCATCTTTTTCATATCTGCTTCTATTTCCCGACGTAATGTGTTCTTTAGCCTTCCTCTTTTCCGCTTCCCTTCAGGATTCCAAGTTAGCGCTTGTCTCGTAATGCAGTTTGATGATTTCCTCAATGTATGTCCTATCCATCAACTCCATCGTCTTTTCCTAATTTCCTCTTCAGCTGGAAGCTGGTTGGTTCTCTCCCACAAAAGGCTGTTGCTGATGGTATCTGGCCAATGGATGTTGAGTATCTTGCGTAGACAGCTATTGATAAATACCTGTACCTTCTTGATGGTGGTTGTTGTAGTTCTCCAAGTTTCAGCTCCGTACAGTAGAACTGCCTTGACGTTCGTATTGAAGATTCTGACTTTGATATTGGTTGACAGACAGTTGTTTTGAGTTCCATATGTTCTTCAGTTGAAGGAATGCCGCTCTAGCTTTGCCAATCCTTGCCTTGACGTCTGCATCTGAACCTCCTTGTTTATCGACGATGCTTCCCAGGTATGTGAAGGATTCTACATCTTCCAGAGTTTCGCCATCAAGAGTTATTGGATTGCTGTTCTCCGTGTTGTGTTTGAGGACCTTAATTTTCCCTTTGTGTATGTTGAGGCCTACTGATGCAGAGACTGCTGCTATGCTGGCTGTCTTTATCTGCATTTGTTCGTGTGTATGTGATAGGAGGGCTAGGTCATCTGCGAAGTCCAAGTCGTCTAATTGG